AGAGCACGAACGCACCCTCCTCGAAGCGACTCCGACCCGGGATCACACCTCGGCCCGACCGCACCCCGAGCCCAGCGCCCCGCCCGAACGGAAGGCCAGCAGGCGGGCACCAGGGCGGGGCGGAGCGCCGCGAGGGCGCGGGGGCCAGCGGGGGCAGCGCGGCGGGCGGGGGAGCCAAGCGAGTGCCCACCGGCGGGGCCAGCCCGCGGACCTCTCCAGGCAGGCGTGCTGGCCAGGAGTTCGGGGCGGAGCCGGCCGTGGCGACGAGGGGCGGGTCGTGGTAGTGGCGTATGGTTTCGCTTGCGAGGGGGGGGGGGGGGCGCGGAGGGTCCGCGCGCACGAGGGAGGGGGGGGGGGAAGGTCCGAAGGGGCCGTCGCGGGAAGGACTTCTTGTGCTCCGCCTGGCGTTGCAGCAAGTGTGTGCCGTCATGGCGCTAAGGGAAGCGCGGATGGGGTGCCACGCACCCGTGGTTCACGGGACAGGGCTGCACGCGCGCGTCCTCGCATGCGGAGGCCAACATGGGAGATCCTCCAGAAACCGGTGGCTGCCGGAAGAAAAAGGGGGAGGGTGAAGGAAGTGTTAGAGAGGAAAGAAAGGGGGGAGGTGAACAGGAGGCGATAAAGGACGATCGCCAGAAGCCAGAAGCAACAGCTAACGCACAAACGTGCACGCGCCAAAACACAAAGGCCACGATGACGCGGTCCTCGGACGAAATGTGGCTGACTGGTGAGGTCAAGCCCCATCCCGGTATGCAGCGAGGGCCGTGTTGGGCAAAGGGGGGAGGACCAGCGAAATAAGAATCCCCATGAAGAGGAAAGGAAGCGGATAAGGGGCACAGGTAAGGACCGACCGAGAACATGCAGAAGAACAGGGCTGCTTCGAAATCGCGCCTTCTTGGGAGTCACGGCCGGCCGTCCCATCCCCCTCGGCAGGCAGGCGGTCCACGCTGGAGCAAGAAGCTGCGTGGGCCAGGTCACGTCGTGCAGAGGACCTGGCGCAGGGGAGCCTGCGGAGGCAGGGCCAGGCAGAGGCCGGCTCCTGGGGGGGCGCTGCGATCTCCCAGGGACCTCCGATGGGAGATGCGAGGTTGCAAAAAGCGATTCTCGTTTCGGGAAGAGGGGGGGAACTATAAACGAATGCAGAGAAGGAAGAGGTGTCCAGCCGCAGTGCGTCTGGGAATGAGCTGCCTGCTGTCGCGTAGCGGAGTCCGCGCGGCATGGCACGAGACATGGCGCGCGGACGCCAGGAGAGGCGAAACCGCGCAGATGCCACGTCCGCAAGGGGACAGGACGACCTCCCAGAGACCTCCTTGGGGGAGGTGTGAGACCGCCACAGCGTGCACAAGAAACAACGAGGAGAATGGGCAAGGGCCAGATTGCCAAACAAAGTGTGCTATAACGACGTACTAGAGATGATCTAACCGAGTGCTTATGTCTTGATATTGGGAAATGATACCAGAAGGAGAAGCGCGTGCAGCCAAGGATGTAGGACTCCAGTCGCAACGCGACTGGGCATGCACATCTGGAGCGAAAGGCGAGTGCGGAGCCACAGGGCCCTGCGCTTCTTCAATGAGATGCCTGCGAACGTGTCCCATCCCAACCTGTGGCATCCCCCCCCGGACTCTGACGCCCATTGGCAAGAAAGGAATCACAGCACCGTTATATTGGAGATGCTGCGTGCTGACCTTCTCACTCTCTCGCGGCCGACAGATGCGGGCAAGGCTTCGGGATTGATTCCAGGCGAGGAGGCAGGCAAGACGCGAGGCAGCTGTAGGGGGGGGGGGCGTATGGGGTGAGCACAGCTGCCTAGCACGCCAATTGGCCAAGGAAGAGTCACCCGAATCCCTTTCGCCGGCCCACACCAGAAACCCCACTATCCTTCCCGCATTGTGATCCACCTCGCTCGCTGGAGGATTTTGATCGCTTGGAGATCGACTCCTTCGATTCAGAGCTTGGAACTCCTACATTTGTAGTCTCAGGCTCGACCTTCGCATCACCGCTCGCTTCCTTCTGATGCTCGTAAGAAGACGCTGCCGCAACCGATGACGGAATGTCACGGCCAGGGATGCAGATCCATTCCCAGGTCCAGGTCTCGTTGCATGGAGAAGCTGAGGTCTGGGTCCAAGAGTGGATGATCCGAGCCGTCAGCCATCCTAGGTGGCGACGTAGCTGATCGGAAACCACTTGGCGTACATGCGCGTGGCATGGTGGTAACGCCACCTCTGCGACGGCGATCCACCTCGGGAATCGCCTGTAGGAGGAGGCTGGGGAGAGGCGGCGCACGGACCCCAGGAGCTCAGGGCAGGCGGATCTGCCTGTGTAGGAAGGCCTGCAACTTCTTCGTTAACACCTGCTCGGGCAGAATTAGCTACGATACGCCGGGATGAAGGACGAGCAAGAGGAACTAGGGGAGAAATGTATGACGCGCCTTGCGCACCTGTCTGCCGTGCTGCTGGGAATCCTAGTGGCGGGTACCCCCCCCATCCCGTAGCCTCTATCTGCTTTTAAATCTGAGGAAGGAGGATGATCGTGGAGGAAGGTGAGAATAGGACCAGAAGCAAAACAAGGACAGAGGGCCGCGAGGCATGGGCCACCGATCCTCGCCGTTAGGCGCCTCGAAACTATCAGGAGGACAGATCCGGAGGGCATGCAGCTTGGCCTTTAACGGGCCTTAGAACTGCTGCGGCGCGACTTGCGGGCCCCATGCCGAGCGAGAGATGTGGAGGAGGAGCTGGCACCGCGCTGCATTTTTGAGGCTGAGGGAGCCTCGGTCTGCAGCACCTATTCGGTGCTCCTCGGCTGGATGGAGAAACGCCCCTCGCCCTTGACCCTCATCAGAAGCTGTGGCCCAATGGTGGCCGCTGTACCTGCCATGCGGTAGCGAGACGGGAAAGTAAAGACGAAACTATCCTCCCTCAGAAGTCGCTTTTGACTGGAGGAACATGCGACTTGCAGCCTTCTTGCGGAGCTTGTCCGTGCCAAAAGGCCTCACAATCTTCTCGGATGGCTCTGGCTCCGCCAACTCCTCGACCAACTCGGACTCTCGTCGATTTAGGAGCTATGGACGGAGCCTTCTCCGTCGGAGTTTTGGAAGGCGACGGTGAGGCGTGCCTAGGGAGGTGCTGGAGGCGATCACGATCCCATGGCAAGGCATCGTCTCGGATCCTTGGACGCGTGTCCACGTCCTGACCAGGGAGTCCCTTTCCAACTGGGGTGCTCTTCTTAACACGTTTAGCCCATGCAGCTGGTGAGAGCATTGGGAGAAAAGGAAGTGGAGGGTGAAAAGGCATAGCGGGTGCATCAAAGGGTGAGCTTCCCTGCCAGGCCTTTGGAGGTTGCTGGGCACGTCGTACCACAGAATGCGCTTCCTCCCATCAGGCGGGGGAAACCTGGCATCTTCCCCGAAAACTCACGGCGCAACAGCAGGAGGGCGCCGGAAGTCGCCAGGCGGCGGGGAAACTGGCTTGGGGGAAAAATTGAGTAGATGAATTCCAGGCGGAGGCGCATGCAGGAGAGGTCTGAGGCACCGCCCGGAGCCCAGCAGAGGCGGGGGCTCTCTGGGCGACCCTCTGTTGGGGGAGGGCTGCAGCCTGGGCCCTGGAGGTGTAGGGGGGGCCCGGTGCGGCTGCTGCTTCGGCTCGACCTTGACCCATGGCCGCCTCTGAGAGGGAGCCTCCTGCTTGGGCTTGGGAGCGGGCACTACGGAGAGGTCCAGACGAGGGGAAAAGAAGAGCCAGGAGCCAAAGCGCCCGCGGGAAGATCACAGATGCGAGCAAAAGAGATGCCCTGGAACGGGGAGGGCGATGCAAGACAATGCTGCCGAAGAAGCCGCGCCCGCTTCCGATTGTCGCAGATCCCGCGGAACTTCTCAAGGATGAGAGAGGAGGAGGTGGGGGGGAGCAACCAACGAAAAGACGGGTTCGGAGCCCCAAGAAGGCGTTGCTTCCTGTTCCGCCGCAGAATCCGGGGCGCCTGACTTTGAGTCAGTAGGAGGTGAACGTACAGATCTGAACCTATCTATCTCTGGGTCGACCCTGCATCTGGATATACCTTCCTGTGGCGCAGTCAGGACCCAACCAGAAATCTTGATTGAGAGGAGAAAAGAAATTGAGGAGAGGGGAGGGGGAGTCAGGATGGAAGGACAGAGGAAGAACCTCTGGTGGGTCTTCGATGGGAGATAGTGAGGTCCTGATGCATCGCCTTCGCAAGGCTGTGGCAAAAGCTAAATGTGTAAATACCCTTGTTGGCCGCAAGCTTGCTGTCCTTGCCGCTAGTAAGGAACGGTGTGAGCAACTGGGGTAGGTGCATGTGTGCCCCCCTGGCCTCTGTTGACTTATATTGCTGAAGAAAGGAATTCTGAGGCATACAGCCAAACATGTGATCAATAAAGCTATCATGTAAGAAATCTGGGCCAGCTTCCTGGAGGGTTCTCAGAAGAAGCCGCGGCTAATTTCTCCCGCTCACGCTGGAAGGGGCGAGCGTGCTCAAGAAACTGGGCCAGCTTCCCGGCAAGTTGGCTGAGAAACGCTGGCCCAGCTTTTCGCGAAGAGGTTGCTGAATCAGATGCTCGACTAAAAGATCCGAGTAAGGGCCTTGCCGAACTCGTTGCGTGGGCGCTCGGGGTGGTGGAATTTGCACCGACCAAGGTCAATGGCACAAGCAACCGGGTAGGCAAGAATGGCTTTGAGAGGCCTCCAGTCCCGACTAGCGACTAGCGATCGCTCTCGGCTTCCAGTGAGCCGTGATGGGGTGCTCCATCCATGCAGAGGTACCTGCTTCTAAATGAGCAGCGAAAAGCATGGTCATAGAAGAGAGAAGTCGGCTGGCATCGCGGGAGGGAGGGGAGAGGGAGGCAGGGGGGACAGGGTGGAGGAGGGCCCGAGAGACGAGCCGAGAAGGAGGGGGGGGAGGGAGGATGAGGGAGGTTTCGGACGCTGCGGCCACTGACCGATGGATCAGGGTGGAGGCTGCATGGGGCGCTTCGCCAGAGGTACCCCCGC